GACTGTAACTATACTTTGAAAATGAACCACACTATTTAAGAATAGAGAAGAAAATCCAGGATGCCCCCCACTCTGCAATTTTACTCAAGAATGTGGAAGCTGTGCTGGTACACAGGTACATTCTCTTCTCAGAAAGCAATGTGAATGATTTTGTTGTCACATAAAGACTTTAAAAACTTTATCAGCTTAGCACAGTGCACATTAAGCAGATTTTAAACTTCAGCCCACATCTTCAATGGATTAAGAAATAACCTATATTCATGAAACATGATACTTGAAACTAAAAGTGTTTCACTAACAACACAATCATTGAAGATACACATCGTAAGTTTATGAAGCAGCCCTGATAACCTTTAAGATTAAGTACATAGGGTCTTGGGTTCACCATGTAGATTCCACTGCAAAAGCAGTTTCAGTATGATTGTGGGAAGAAACCATATGATATAAAGATTTCTTCACTAAGTTTGAGATTTAGAAGGGAAGACAAACACGAGATTTCCAGTCAAAGATAACTCCATGTTGGTCTTGAACCCTTTGATATCTAGAGCCATGGTCCTCACACTCAGGTACTCAGACAGGGTTCAAAAAGACTCTTCAGCATTCTTCACCATGCTCATCATCAATTTCCTGCTGTATTCATAGGCCAAAAATAGAGCAGCATTGGAAGGGATGGCTCGAATCATAGTGGCTTTCATTCCAGAATACAAGGCTAATATCCCTTCATTTCTCACAACATTTACAAAGGTTGGGATTAATCCTGCTGACTGCCCAGACATAGAAAGAACCTGGATTCTGGATTTAATACAGTCCACTGGGAATATGGTAAGCCAGAAGCAGATCCCAGCAAAGCCTCCACTTAGCATCAAAGGGACAGGGCCTAGTTCATCCTTTGGTCTCCCTGATGCAAAAAACGATCGACTGAATTCATAGCCCCCAAAGAAGAAGAAATAGCCAGGTACTTCCTGGACTAGAGTGGTGGGGAGTCCGCGATAGAAGCCTAAGAGGCCCTCCTTCATGAGGATACTCTGAACCATAGACCAAATTGTGTTATAGCTTTGCGCTATCTTCCCCTGACATCTTCATTTCATACATGGTCTGCAGCCGGCACTTAACGAGCTCAGTGGGGCAGAGGGCCAGAGAAGCAAATGCAGAGGCCAGTGACCCAGCAGTAGCAGTCTGAAAGTCGTTCAGCTCTGCACTCTGGTCCACCCTAGCCACTTTCCGGACAAACTGTTGACAAAAGCCATAGCACATGAATAGGACAGAGTTCTGGGCAACGTAGGCTAGCAGTGCAGGACTGGTTCCCCTGTATAAGCCCTGGAAGCCCACTTGGTTGTACGTCTTTAGGAAGCAGTCGGTGAGGCCCTTGTACAGATTGGGGAATGTCTGCATCTTTACTTTCATGGTGTCGAAAGGCTGCCCAGTCAGCACACATGCTGCACCCCCAACGGCGCCCGCGGTGAGATCTATGGTGGCTTGGGTGGCAGGGTGGACTTCATGTTCGTCCACCCCCTTGTGGATGTCCTTGGAAGGCAAGTCTCGGTGAGTTCCCACGGCCGGCCGCTGAGGGCCCTGTATCTCCGTTTCTCAGCCAAGGCCACTCAACCCAAAGCCTCGGGCCGTCGCACTCCCCAGCCGCTTGGGAATAACCCCCCTCCACGCGCATTCACGAGTGTCCCACTGTCCCCGCGGGCATTGGCAGAATGCTTTCAGGGCCACTTCTCCCATAAATATGTAGGAGGAAACGCTTTACTGGAGCTGGGGTATAGTTCAGTGGTAGAGCGTGTGCCTAGTTGGATAGGCCATGGCTGTTATATTCTCAATACCACAGCAAGCTGAGAATGGAAGGATGCTTCCCCCTTTAGGGGCCAGATTTCCTGGTTTCTTAGCATGCAAAATGACACCAGGGAATGCTCTCAATTAATCTAGTCTAGGTTTAAAGGGTGTCACAGCCTACAGAAAAAGAGCTAAAATAGAGAAGACAGGCCATGTGTGGGGGACCATGCCTTTAACTCCAGCATTCAGGAAATGGGGGCAGGTTTTGTGAGTTTGAAGTCAGCAGAGAATATATAGTGGCACTCTGCCTCAAAAATGAATAAATGAGAAGATAAATACTTTGGAACTGGTACTTTTGAGTTTATGGAACAAAACACCTCTAGCCAAATGCTCTTCTCTCGGGGCAGGAGAGACTAGAATCTGAGTTGTACAAACTACTTTAGTGGTGAAAGCAAATCTGGAGTCAGACTGTGCTGGAAAACTTTCATTTAGCTTTCTTGGACTTTATTTAAAAGTGAAGCTTTAGCCATGCTTAAACGGCATATGCCTTTAATCCCAGGCAGAGACTGACAGTTCTGAGTTCAAGGCCAACTTGGTGTAAAGAGTGAGTTCCAAAAGAGCCAGGGCTAGCTACATAGAGACCCTGTCTCAAAAAAAAAAAAAAAAAAAAAAAAAAAAAAAGTGAGACATTAAAAATCAGATTGTGCATGGTAAAAGGTGTGCATGGTAAGAGGTATGCTTATTTTTTTTCCCAGCAGATGACCTGGCCTTTTCTTTGGAAAATGTCTAACTGCCAACACTGAGAATTCTTTTTTCTGTGATACCTTTTCTTTAGAGAGAATCATCTATGACTTTTTAAAGATTTATTTTATGAATATTTCGCCTGCATGTACTTGCACCACTGAATCAGCCTAGTGCCCATGGAGATCAGAAGGTTGGATCCCCTAGAACTGGGCTTGCAATTGGTTGTGAGCCACCTCAAGAGGACTGGGAACCAACCTGGGTCCTCTGCAAGAGCACTGAGTGCTTTTAACCATGAGCTGTCTCTCCAGCTCTAATCATCTAATCTCAAATGTGTGTATATACCTAAACACTGATTTAACAAGGTGCTTACAGTGAACACACATAGGCTGCACACAAACTCCTTTTCAGCTGCTGTTCACCTCATTCACACTTACTGTGTGCCTGCTTTGATGGGGTCTTCATTGGTTCAACTTATACAGAAAAATAAACTTCCTGTTCTGGGATGGGGAAGTTACCTGGCTTCAGAGAATAGGGATCTTGGACATCGACAGCTCTGAGCAGACTTTAATGAGTTCCTATCTTCACTGCTAATAATCATCAGCAGTAGATAACATTAGGAAAAAACTCTATAGTGAAAAAGATACTGATTCACACATTGATAAGGTTACTCATAGCTTTATACAAGTTTCTAAAGGGTCTACATAACAAAACCATAATTTTGCATTAAAAAAAAAAACTACATAAAGGTCATCTGGTGTGTATATACCAAATAAAGGCATGAGATAATACATCTTAAAATGTTAATAAATTATCTTAGTAAGTTGGTATGAGAGGGTGCTGCTTTTATTGTAGAGTCTCTACATTACATGTTTATAGGGAGTCTTCCTTAGTATTTTAAAGCATTTCTTTTAAAGGTCTTCAAAACTTGTGCACGGGGATAAGACCTGTATGGAGTTCAGTGATACAGTAATTGCTTAGCATTCCAAGGCTCAGCAAAACACACTCTCAAGAAAAAAGTATAACTTGGTCACAAATCCAGAAACCCTAAAAAATGTTCAGCTCTTTACCATATTTCTTAGTCAAGATATGCAGGAGAAAAGTGAATCTTTCACAATAATGCAGTATTTATTTGGATCCCAATCTTCAGTTAAGTCTTTATCTTTTAAATTTTTTATGTGACAATCATTCCTTATGCCACTTTTAAATATTAGTACAAAGGTGCCCAGAAACAAACAATAAATATCCAGGAATAAGCTAAGGCAGCTTCTTTGCTGCAGATATTTGAAGCAAACTTTCCAAATTATAAGCTTTGATTTAGAATCTTTGATTTGAAGGAAACTCTTAATTAAAACAGCTGTTTCCTAAACCAGGACTGGTCATGCACACCTGCGATCCTAGCACTTAACTGTGACAGGAGAATTGAGATTAAGGCCAGCCTGGGCTACACTGTGAATTTAAACAACAACAAAAAAAGTTTCTTTGTAAACACTCTGCTATCATTTCAATCCCGCTTTAATTCAAGGCTGTTTAACACCTATCATGATCCAGTCCACTGAATGGGAATGTTTGTTTGTTCACTGTTCACTCTCCATATTCCAGTTATTCTAAGTACGTCTGGCATATGATTTAAGTCACTAACCCAATAGCCCTGTGAGGCTGGTAATATTATCACCTCCATTTCAGAGGCAAAAAGATGGAAACAAACAGGTTAAGTTCAAATTATATGGCCCCAAAACCACACAACAAAATCACTGATCTATAATACAAACACAGGTTCTGGTTTGGGGCGTCAGCAGCTGAGCCTGCTGGCAGTAGCAAAATGAAAGGGCAAATGTTCAATGAAAGCGGCTGGGTGACTTCCATGTTGAACACATATACTTGGCTTGCCAGGGGGCGGCTTTTAAGTATTTCCAGGACACAGGTGAATATATTAAATCTTAAGTTCACAACAGTCTGAAATTATAGATTTGGGAATACAAGTAGAGGTAATAATTGAACCAGGACCAGACCAGTGGGTTGTTAATAAAAAGCAGTGCATCTAACATCCTTCCCTTCAAATATTGATGACCTTCAAGAATCACCTACAACCAATCTTAGAAATAACTGGCCAAATACTCTTATCTTTTCCAGTGTCAATTCTTTAAGCGTAAAACAATACCTCAGATAAACTTAGAATTTTTCACCTGCCACTTCGTTAAGAAAACATCATTTTCTGACCTTAAGAAATACTCTATGGCACACAACTTTAACCCAAGTCTTCTGGAGGCAGAGGCAGGTGGATTGAGGCCAGCCAGGTCTACAGATTGAGGTTCTGAACAGTCAAGGCTACACAGAGAAACACGGTCTTGAAAAAAAAAAAAAAAAAAAAAAAAAAAGGAAAGAAAAGAAAGACACTAAAGCCAGATGTTAAGGACTCTGTGTATTAAGAAATTTGATTCTGGACTTGAAGTTTAAATATTTGATTTTTTTTTTTTACACTTTACCACTGATGTTTCCTGATAAACAGAAAATTTAAGTGAGCTTTGGTTTATGAATACTTACAAACCCATCTGGCACAAATTAATTTTAACTGTGCTCCTTACAGTCTGATTTTTTTTTTTCTAAAAATACACCTCAATTGTAAAACACCAAATGCTTCAAAGAATGTAAATATTATGTGTGCAAAATTTTAAAATACCAGACCAGGATAGAGGCTTTCATAATAGGAAATACTAATGAAATAACATGAACAAGCATCAGTCTATTAAATACCGGTAGCAATTAAATTGGCAATAATTAAGAATGTAATCTTAATCCAGACAAAGTGGAATGGTTTATCTGATAACGTTTTTCTGACTCCAGTACTTTACACAGATAACCTTAGAACTTAATAAAACTAGGATAGTTTAGGAAAGCTTTGGACCCAGTGTGTTCAAACTTCCAGGTGGATAGGAACTTAATGTAACACAAAGATGAGTTTCTCCATCTCCTTAACCCTGTGCATTCCTTTTCCTGAAAAAAACATAAGAACAGCATATATCTTTAACTACAAACATGACCACCCCATTCAATAATTAAACTCTATGAATCCACCTTAACTCTCACTACTCATAGAAGAACAAGATAAACATTATGTGAAAATTAGTAACTTTTATTGTGCAAGAAACAACTTTTTGCAATAACGGTACTTTTTTTCTACACGTGGAAACTTGCTGAGTAGCTAATAAAATAGCTACTACACACATTTATTTAAAAAAAATTAAAAACTTACAACAAAACAAAAAAAACTAACTTCACTGCCTGTAGGCTAGCTTCTTACTGATCTTTGCACCAAAGAACAAGAATAAAAACTTCTGGAAAAGAGACAAACAGTTATAAAGTCCCATGGTGAGTGATTAAAGCACCACTGTTTATTGTTCAACTCTCTGATCTTACTTACAGCTTACCTACAGCTGCCTATGTAATCCTCCTTCCTAAAGAATGAAAACCTGTTCAACAAAACCCAACACAACTAACGTTTCAGGGAATAAGAACCCGACTTTGAGATCTTACGATGAAAATGAACTGCTCTCAAGCCGACCACGCTAAGGACATTCTCACTTCTCTAGAAGTGACTCTAGCTCTTCTTGCAAAGAGCTAAGCTGCTCTTTCTCCCTATCTTCCTTTTGCTTGAGTTCATCCAGAACAGCTTGAAACCTGTTCTTGAGAGCCAGGTTTTCTACTTTCATGATGAGGTCCTCCTGGCGCTTTGCCCTGTCTTGGGTCTCTTGGAGCTTGCCTTTCATGCTATCAATCTGTTTCTGAATTCCCATAACCAATTGATTGGTTCCTTCATTCTCTTGGTGCTGTTCATCTGATTCGTTGAGCTTGTCTTGCAGCTGTCTCTCCAGATCTTCCTCGGTGTCGATGATGTTTACATCTTCTTCATCTTCGCTGCTGCTGCTGAGGTCATTGAATATCTCTCGAAGTTCATCATGTTCTAGCGAGTCGTGGCCCTGCCTGTGGCCAGACATTCCTGGAGAGGAGATATCGAGGCCTTGATTTTCTGTCTCCTTTGTTTCATCTTCAGCAATTATCTCCCAGCGAGTGCTGACCGCTTCTGCATCAGTACTCAGCAACCTCTTCACTTCTTTTTCCACATCGGGAGATTCAATATACTTCTTCTTTGCTGTCTTCCGGAACCTTCTCTTTCTGACATTTTTCAGAGGTAGAGTAATTCCATGGTTCCAAACAAATTTTTTCTCCTTGTCCTTATCTTTTTTCTTGCTTGCTTTGGGATCCGCAGGGGCAACTGGCTCCTCCACGGGAGGGTAGAGGTCTCCATCTACTGTGGACACCAGCATCTGGCTGATATCTGCTGTCTTGTAAAAGGTCTTTTTATCAATGGTCTTCAAGCTTTCCATAACACAAGGCAGATCTACCAGCTTTGAGGCCAAGGGAACTCGATCCACTCTGACAATTCCATGACGCCCATCAGGGTGTAACTCAATGGTCAGTCTGTCTTTCAGGTTGACGTGTCCAGACTGCACAGCCCTCCTCACAGTAGAAGCATATTCTGGGGGCAATCGTAAGATAAACTGGCTCTCTAGTTCATGTGGTGCATCATCTTTGCTCTTACTCATCTTTAATTGCTTGCGAGTTACTCCTCCAATAAATACTTGCTGCACTAAAAAGTTTCAGCTCCTACAACAATTAAAAAGGGCACTGTTGTTAGTATGATTTTAAATTCTTAACGAGCTCTAAGGAAAACAGCAACTAAATGGAACACCAGCTGGTGCCTATTTTGTCTTAGTTTTTAAATTAAGTCTCCATTCCTATCTGTAAACATGCTGCACCTTTGGCTTTTTCCTTCCTCGTTAAATTCACTTATCTACTAGATACACTACCAAGTGGGAGCCTCCAGATGCCGCTACCGCGCAAAACAAACAGCAAAGGAAACGGGCGCCCGAGGAGGGGTTTTAGGCACAGGCGTTATGTCTGGCAGACAGTCCCAATCAATCCACAAATTCTCTCCCAGAAGATATTTAAGAAGCAGAGTGCAGTGAACTCTTTTCACTTTGGGTACTTACAGTCACTCCACTGGCGACTATGAAGGGCTTCTCGCGGGCGGAGCGAGCGGCGGGGAGCGAGCGGCGGGGAGCGAGCGGCGGGGAGCGAGCGGCGGGGAGCGAGCGGCGGGGAGCGAGCGGCGGGGAGCGAGCGGCGGGGAGCGAGCGGCGCGCCCGCCTTTCGGTTTGTACGCGCTTTCGATCGCCCCGCACGGCGACCTGCGTGCTACCTGCGAGAGGGCTCAGGTCCCGCAGCGCGAAATCGCGGCGGGCGCCACTCTAAGCAGCGACTCCAGAGCGGACCGCCTCGCTTCTCCCACCAGCAACGCCGATCACAAACAGGAAACGAAGCGCTACGTCACCGACCGGAAGTAGACGCGGCGGGACTGCCGGCCGCTCCGCCGGAAGTGCTAACGGCGCGGCGCGCGCAGACGCAGTGTCTCAGTTACGGTGCCCTCTCGCGAGAACTTGCTGTGTACAGGCTAAAATTTCGTGTTTTCAGGAAAGCTTTGGCTTGGAAATGAAAGTTAAGGATTCCAAGGAGAAAGACACAAGTTTGTCCCCCCAAGACAGCACTTTTATGGAGTCGTGGGGCGGGACAGTTTCTAGTCTAAGGAGATTTCCGAAAATAAGGGCGTCCTTGTAAAAAGCTTGTTTCCCAGAGCGTACCCAGCCTGCTTCCCCTACAATCACAAACTAAAATGTAAAAGTACCCACACCATTGGAGTAAGACAATATTTCTGTTCACTATATAATGCTAAGTGTATAATCGTGTTAATTCAACTTGAGGGAAAGTAAGTAAGCCTGGGATTCTTTTTTTTTTTTTTTTTTTTTTTTTTTTTTTTTTGGTGGGTCTCAAAAGAACCAAGAGTGATTCTTTTTGGCAATGTTTGAGGAAAACTATATTGACCTCAAAACTAAAGATTTTACCACATTACCATTAACTTCACATCTTGAAAATTTTAATGTTTTTTCCCCCAAATCAAATGGATACACTAGAAAATTCTGAATGCACAGAAAAAAGTGAGTATTCCATTCTATTTGTAATGCTGGTGAAACAACGGTTTAAAGAAAGCAGAAAGCAGTTAATTTCCTAATGTAGTAACAAGCTTTTGAAGGATTTCCTTTCTGTGATTAAAGAGAAAAACAGGAAACTGCTAATCCCATATTATTTGAAAATTCCATTTTAAAGCTTTGGAAGTCTTTTTGGGAGATACTTATACTTTAGAAGTTCACAAACATCTGTTGAGTGATGAGAACATAAGCCTGTATTTTGTAATTTAGATTTTTAGAACTGAGTATATCAGTTGAGGTTCTCTAGAGTAAGAAAACTTACAGAATGAATCTCTGTCTGTCTCCCATATGAATAAAGGGGATTTATTAGAAAGACTTACAGGCTGTGGTTCCGTTAATCCAACAATGGCTGTCTGTAGAAGAAAGATCCAAGAATCCAGTAGCTGTTCAGTTCATGAGACTGGTCTTCAGTATACGACTTAATTCAGAAGAAGTGGGCTCTAATATCAGTGAAGGAATGGATTTGCTAGCAGGAGAGATCAAGCAAGCAACAAGAAAGAGCTTCCTTTTTCAGTGTACTTATAGGCTGCCAGTGGAAGGTGTGGCCCAGATTAAAGTCTTCCCACCCTAAAAGTCCATATAAGAAGTAGATCTTCCCAATTCAAATTAAACAAAAAGGTAATCCCTCACAGGTGTGCCCCTCCATGTGTGAGGGCTTTAGTTAGTTCCAGATGTAGTCAAGTTGACAACCTAAAAATAGCCATCACAGTGAGGAAATAGCAAACATTCTACCCAAAAGAAAACATATGAATTGCTAAATCACCATATATTTTGAAAGTTAAAAAGCAAGTTATCGAAAAACATACAGCAGTTTCTATACCAAGTAGGATTTGTTCTATTTAAATAAATAAATATGATGTGGCTACAGATGGGAGCCATAGATGTGGTTTTAAATATTTAGAGGCTAGAGAAGTAGCTCACTTGCCTAGCATGTACAGTGTTATGAGCTTTATTAATATTACCAAAAACTACTTAACTAAATGTTGCCTGACAACCACAATAAAATGACAAAAACAAGAAAATGAAAATAACTAACCATGTTTCTAAAATGCAAGTATAATAAAGTCAACAATGTGAAAATTTTTAATGATATGCTTTACATTCTTTCTTTGAATTAAATCTTCCGAGTTTACACTAGCCACACGTCAGGTACTCATACTTGCCATACATGGCTAAGGATTACTGATTGGAGTGTTCAAGTCTTGAAGTATAATACAGTTGTCTCTGCACATGGCCTACTAAGACTGTTTTTCTCTTCTGATTTTGAAGAGTCTGTGCCTTTTCTGCTGTCCTTTCGGGTCTGCTCCTTGTGCTTGTAAACTTCCATAGGCTATGATCACCAGTTACCTTCCAGTGTCAGTGGAGAGCTCCCACCCTTGTTCATGAGTTGAGGGAGTAGCTCTTTCAAAGTCTTACTTACTGTATTCTTCAGGGTTTGTTAACAGAACAGAAGTAAGTGTGTGTGTGTGTGTGTGTGTGTGTGTGTGTGTGTGTGTGTGTGTAAGGGGAATTTATCAGATGGAATTGCAGGATGTACTTAGAGTAACCTAATAATGGCTGTCTCTTACCAGAGAGGCCAAATAATCTAATCCAAAATATTTCTCAGAAAACTTCCCAGAAGCTTGGGTTTTATTGGATTCCAGATGGAATCAAGTAGAATATCAAGATTAATCACCTCACTAACTTGTTTGTTCCTTCAGGAGAGAGTCCGCCTTTGGATTTTATTTGACTAAGATGACCATATACCTATCCTTGGCTCAACAGTACTTTACTCATAAATGCAGTAAACCTATGTTTCTAACAGTGGCTGGAAGAATGTGATCTTCATTAATGTCCAGACATTTTGGCTGTCACAGTTGTGAAAGCAGGATCTGCTGACATGTAGTGAGAGAAGGTTGGATATAATGTTCAACATGGCACAGAACAGCTCCCTTCCCCACACACTCACAAACTAAAGAATTATCTAGCTATCCAGGCACTGGTGGTGCACACTTTTAATCCCAGAACTCGGGAGGAAGAGGGAGGCGGATCTCTGTGAGTTTTGAGGCCACCCTGGTCTATAGAGCTACACAGAGAAACTCTGTTTCAGAAAAAAAACAAAGGATTAACTAGCTCAGAATAATACCAAGATTGAGGAACTACCACAGGGTTATAAATTTAAGCCTATAATGCTAAAAAATATTTTTATATATAGATTAATTTTTTTACTTTTATTTTACATATCAATCCCAATTCCCTTTCCCTCCCTCTTTCTCTCTCTCCCACCATCTCATACCACCCAACTACCCTCACCTACCATCCACCCATACTCCACATGTACGGTGATGCCATCTAGGAGAGGTCACCTAAATCTGTCAAGTCATTTGAAGTAGGGACTAGGACTTCTCTCCTGTCTCTAGGTTAAGGGAGTATCCCTCCATGGAGGATGTGCCCCCAAAGTCTTTTGTGCACCAGGAGTACATCCTGGTTCCACTGCCTGAGGCCCGTTAGACTGTTCAGTCCTTCTAGCTGAGACCCATGTTCAGGAGGTCTGAGTCAGTACCAGGCTGGATTCCCAGCTATCACTCTGGGGGCCCATTAGCTCCTCCTTGTTCAGGTAAGCTGGCTCTATATGTTTCTGCAACCTGGTCTTGTCCTCCCTCTCTGCATCTAGATTCCAGTTCAGTTCAGTGTTTAGTTGTGGGTGTTTGCTTCTGTTTCCAACAGGTACTAGATGAGGGCTCCATGATGGTGGATAAGGTAAAGTTGATCTCATTATCAAGGAAGGGCATTTATGGTAGCCTTTCCAGTGATGCTTAAATTGTTAGTTCTGGTCAGTCTTGTAGGTCTATGGACATTTCTCTAGGTTCAGTTTTCAATTAAAACCTATGATGGCTCACTCTTTTACTCTCTCTCTCTCTCTCTCTCTCTCTCTCTCTCTCTCTCTCTCTCTCTCTCTCTCTCTCTCGTCTTCTCTCTTCTCTCTTCTATTACTTCCCTGACTCAATCTTACTAGTCCTACGTGCTTTCCTGTCCTCCCCTTCACTTTCTCATAGTTCCCTCTCCACTCACTGTCCCCTCTCCCCATATGCTCAGGAGATCTTGTCCCTTCCCCCTTCTGTGATGGACCATATATGAAACTCTTAGAATACTCCTTGTATCCTACTTTCTCTGGTAGTGTGAATTATAGGCTGGTGATCATTTGCTCTGTGTCTAAAATCCATATATGAACGAATACATACCATGTTCCTCTTTTTGTGACTGGGTTACTTCATTCAGGATGGTTTCTTCAAGTTCCATCCACTTGCCTGCGAATTTCAAGATTCCATTGTGGAAATGTGCCACATCTTCTTTATCCATTCTTCAGTTGAGGGGCATCTAGGTTGCTTCCAGGTTCTTGTTATTAAAAATAATGCTGCTATAAACATAGTTGAGCACATGTCTTTGTTGCATGGATGTGGATCATTTGTGTATATGCCTGCCTAAGAGTGACATTGCCAGGTCCTGTGGTAGACTGATTCCCATTTTCCTTAGGATCCACCATTATGATCTCCAAAATGGCTATACAACTTTGCACTCCCACCAGCAGTGGAGGAGGAGTGTTCCCCCTTTCTCTACTTCCTCTCCAGCATAAGTTGTCATTGATGTTTCTAATTTTAGCCATTCTGGCAGGAGTGAGATGGCATCTCAAAGCTTTTTTATTTTCATTTCCCTAATAGCTAAGAATGTTGAGCACTTTCTTATCTGTCTTTCAGTCTTTTTGATTTCCTCTATTGAGAGTTCTCTATTCAGTTCTGTACCCCATTTTTTAATAGGGTTATTTGGTGTTTTGTTGACTAGTTTCTTGAGTTCTTTGTATATTTTGGAGATCAGCCCTCTGTCAGATGTAGGATTGGTGAAGATCTTTTCCCAGTCTATGGGCTGCTGTTTTGTCTTGTCCACTGTGTCCTTTGCCTTACAGAAGCTTCTAAGGTCCCATTTATTAATTGTCGATCTCAGTGTCTGTGTTACTAGAGTTATGTTCAGGAAACAGTCTCCTGTACCAATTTGTTCAAGGGTACCTCCCGCTTTCTCCTCTAAAAGGTTCACTGTGGCTGGATTTTTGTTGAGTTCTTTGATCCATATGGACTTGAATTTTCTGCATGGCGATAGACATGGGTCTATCTACAGACTTCTACACAC